TTTTTTTTTTTTTCATACGAGATACTCTATTCCAGAAAATACAGGACCTAGAAAGCTAATTTGAGGATGCAAAAAATACACAGTAGTCGATAGGTCCATAAATCAGACTGACCTGGGCAAAGGTAAATATTGAATAAAACTGTAACAAAAATATGAAGTTGAAAAAAATTACTTCTTTAAGTATAATCCGTTTCCATGCATTTTATACCGTTTTAATTGTAATCTTAAGGTTTTAATTTTAAGAAAAGTAGACTAATGAAAAAAGACTAGATAATCTTTTTGACGTCAGTGAGACTGTTTAACAGGAAGCGATAGAGCTCCTAAATAAAGATGATTTATGACAAGGTACCTCTAGTTCGAATAAATCTCGTCGCTGAACGTGAGCATTAGCTCATTGTTTTTCTTCGGCGGAATTTTATCGTTATTATTCATTATTAACTATCGCGAATCAACGAATAAAAGCAGTCGTGTAAAAGCGAGTTGTTCGTTCGTAGGGCTGCTCGACTAATAATTTTATTTTAGCAAGTTAGTATTGTTCTTGAACGGATGGACAACAAACAGACCGGGAAGTAACTTCGAGATTGTGTAAATCAACACGTCAATTGTTGAACGGGTGTCAAAATTGCGTAACACCTCGGTTTATTCGCGCAATGAATTTTCATTAAACCGCGACACTCCAGAAAATGGAACTTCGACGAAAGAAACGACTTAAAAAAAAAAAAAAGCATCCTAAAATTCTCTACGTTAATCGTTAATCGTTCCGTAAACAAGAAAAAATCCCGTCAAAAATCCTCGGAGACAGATTCAACAGCAGGAATTAAAAACAATCATTTGAAGGGTCTGTGAAATCTGTCGAAAATAGATGCATTAGAAAATAGAGCATCAAATGCAATTGCAAAGAACACGTATACAACATACGATTTTCTCGCGACTTTAAGCGGATTCTTATCGCTAAGAAGGCCTTTCGGAGCCGATACTATTAGAAAACCAATTAAAACTGTTATCGATTTTATTGTTCGAAACGCTTCACTACATCGTTGTAACAAAACAGAACGAAAAAAAAAAAAGAGAAAAAAGGAAATTATAAGGGGAAAAATAAATTCACTCACCTTTTGATTGTCGGCCCTCTTCCGTTTCTTCTTCAATCTCTCCATTGTTACGGAGATCGTTCGATCGTACGGAACCAATTCAATTGATCACAAACGACACAGACGATTAGATGAGAGAACCTCCACGTTCGAGAACAGGTGGTTTTAGACTGATCCTCCGTTCCTTATATCGGCGACCACTTAGCGATATCTTCCGAGAACGCGTTCAAATGTATCGGTTCGCACACACGTTCGCCGCGATTCG